TTGTTTTTCATCAGGGTTCATGGAACAAGGGGCATTTATTTTTGTGCACTACACATTTCAACAACTAAATTTCTATTCGGAGTTACATAATAAATATGTTGCGCAAATAAAATCTAGTCTACTGCTCAATGCCATAATAATTTTTAATATATATATAAATATTTGGTGTTGTTTCAAGATGTTCTGAAAGAGCTTCTGGTGACATGCCCCTATATATGTTATGATTGATCCAACAGTATTTGTTTCACAAACCATACAGCCAGGAAAAAATAAAAGTGGTTTTGGGATAAATCTGGTAGGCAAAACAAATGATTGCCTGATAGTTTCAAGGCCTACCTAGAAAATTCTTCCTTTTTCAAATAACTAAGGTTTGGCAACATCAATGTATGATGCATTGACTCTATTCATCTGTAGAAAGATCCATCTGGAAGTACTTTGAATTATGAAACTTTCTAAGTGGAATTTTGTTGATTCCCGAAATATGCAACCTTGCCCCCAAGCGACTTTGTATCTCTTACAGTCTTCGAGATCTAAATGATGAGGGTCGAATTTGAAACACCCTGTATATATGAATCTTTGATTTTACTTACTGACAACACAAGACATTTAATTGTAATTTATCCGAGGCATAGACTAACTTCAACTGTAAAGACCATATTACACCTATCTGAAATAATTCAACTGTTTGCCAAGTACAAGAAATGTGAAGTCAGAAAGCATTTATTTAAGGTAGAGGCTAGCTTAAGAAACTGTTAGAAATTGAAGACCAGCAGTTTGTTTTTCTCTTTATTACATGTATGTACGTATATATTATTATATAGCTGTTACAAGAAATGTACTGTAATTAGAATTAGAAATATAGATTGTTCTATTTTATTTAACTCTAATTTATTATTTATTCACATAAATAAGTACTAATTCATCCATAAAAATAAATATTAACTCACCATCAGACCAATTTCTTTTTGAAACTCCTCGAAGAAGAGCTTCTACCCTATTTCCATTATCTTGCTTGTCTATAAAGGCGAAACGATGCAAATGGAATATGTCTTTGGTGAACAGTTCTACACGGTCTGGATATACATCACCAAATGCCTAAAATGTATAAAATGAGAGTATCAGAGACATAAAAATCCATAAGAGATATGATAAATAATAATAATAATAATGTTTATTGTCCAAACTATAAGCAGATAACTAGAAATGACATATTTTAGAACAATAAACATGGTAGGGCACAAAGTCTATCTTCGGTTATTAGCGTTTTTGTTTTCTGTTCTCTGTTTGGGGGATATATCGAGTATGTTGTCAAAATCGGTAAATAAGTATAACAGGGGTATAGGGTATGTTGTGTTGGGTATAGGGTATTTTGTTTAATTCAGTAACTTTATTCTAGGAATTGATTTTCATGTTAAGTGTAATCTTTTTAAGTCAACGATTTCTTGAGTTCTCTGTCTGGGCATAGATGTTATCCAGCCTTTTACTTTCCTTTTAAATGTGTGTTTGGCTTGTATCATCTTCAGGTCTTGTGGAAGAGGATTGTAACATCTTGGTCCTAGGTAAGAATACGATCTGAGCATTATATTTTTTTCTGGTTTTGGCACCTTTAAATAATTCCTGTTTCTTGTTCGGTAAGAATGTATCGGCTCTTGGTTGGGAGGACGGGATATGTGTTGCTCTATCAAAACTTTTAGTAGGTATAATTGCCTTATGTCTAATATACCAGTTTCTTTATAAAGATGGTCAGTTGGATACAGTCGGGGTTTATGAGATATTGTCTTTAAAAAACTTTTGAGAGTTATTTCTAATTTGATTATATGAGTTATGTTTGCTGCTCCTCATGCTATTATACCATAATTTATGTGAGATTCTGTAATGCATTGTATTGTATTTTTAATTGATAATACTCTAGTATGTTTTTAATTCTTCTTATTCGATATAGAACAGATTGCAACTTTTTGGCAACATACATTATATGCATATCCCACCTGAGGTGTGCATCTATGTAAATTCATCAATATTTTACACCATTTACATTATTTATTTTACATTTATTATCCCCAGTGTTTTTTATTTGTAGATGATGGTAATATGGCACTTTGTTGGCATAAGATGTGAAGGGGATAAAATCAGTTTTTTCAAAATTTATTATTAACTTATTACCAAACCAGTCCATGATTTTACAAAAATCATTTTGTGCTACGTTTCTTAGATCTGTCCAGTTTTCATTTGTATATATCACCACAGTATCATCAGCGAAGCTCACGATGTCTCCTTCAATTTTTTGTTTGAACAAGTCTGCCAAATATATGTTAAAGATGCCCTAAGATGCTTCCCTGGGGAACCCCGTACTCATTGCTATTTTGCTGTAAGTATTCCCAATTTTTACCGTATGAGTTCTACCAGAGATATAAAATTGCAATAGGTTGTATGATGAGCCTCTAAATCCTATGTTTTGAAGGGTATCTCGGCGTCCAGCGTGACTAACTGTATCGAAAGCTTTTGACAAGTCAATAAAAATTCCGACGCAAGGTATATTGTCATCTACATGCTTTGACAGTCTTGTGGTGACATACTTGATCACGTCTTCTGTTGATTTGCCTTTAACAAATCCAAACTGCTTTTCTGTTTATGCGATTTTTTAGGATTTTCTGGAAGATTTTGGAGATATTAGATAATAAAGGGATTGGTCTATAGTTAGCCATGTTGGTCGTCTGCCCACTTTTAAATACAGGAAATATAACCCTTTTCTTAAAGCCTGAAGGGCACTGTCCAGTATGGAATGCCCAGTTTATTATAAAAGTTAACAGTTCCGAAATTTCTATAGCAATTATTTTTAGAGTTTCAGCTCTAATTTCATCCCAGCCCAGAGCCTTTTTATTTTTCAAAGACATGACCTCTTCTTCTGACGTGTCCTCTAAGAAAAATGATTCTGTCTTCATTGTCTTTTCAAAATGACATAAACGATATAGTTTATTGTTGTTTTTCTCTGCCATGACTCTACCGATGCTGCTAAAATAGTCTACAAAGTGATCGGCGATGAGCTTGCTATCGTTAACTAATTGACCGTCTTGCCCTTCAATTTCAATTATGGTATTTTTTTGTGTATTTCCTCCAGACAGCTTGTTGGCTACTTTCCATAATGCTGAAGAGTTAGATCCATTCTTTCCTGCTGGCTGTTTTGTTTGCTCGCTGAATACTCGATCGAGTTCATTTTTTATCTCTCTATATTTAGCAAATGGTTTTTTTTAGTGGCTAACTCCATGATCAACTGGCACTTCCCAATTAATACTCACCTTCAATTCTTTCCTAAAATCACTACAACTCTCATAAAGCCTTATCAAATCAACTCCTTTTTCTAATAATTCTGTAGTGATTAGACCTAAGCCAGCATTTGTTTCAGCGATTACTTGACTCTTTGTGGATCTTAAATGTGGAAACACTATATTTGCAATACTTTTTGCTGCATTTGGACATATCAAATACATATTCTCTGGGGCCGTTGTTTCGGCAAAATATCTTGGAGGAATATATTTTTTAACGGTACTCAAATGTGGGTTTGCCGTTAAGAAGTAATGAAGTTCATGAGAAAAAGGTATTCTCTTTTCAGCCGTTGGTTTAAGATCATCTTTTTTGGGGACACTTTCAGATAAGCACCTGTAAAATCCATTGGCAAAAGACCTTGAATGTCGTTTCAGGTACATATTATCATATGTCACTACACCATATCTAATATATATATTGAATTAAAATTATGAGAGAATTATATTTTTGAATTCGTAGAGTTTTTTATTGTTATTCGTTAAGGTTATGTCACAATGTCACAAAACACATAAGATAAGACTGAAGAAGCGGGAGCTTCACATTAAACAATGGCAACACCGTTGACCGTTTGTCAGATGGTTGCACCGCCTACTTGCCTGGAGGAACTATCGAAAGAACGCCGAGAATGCGCCTGCAATAAGGAATGCTGGGAATGTGCCGGGGATTTCGTTTGTTCATAATTTTAAATCTGCGGAAAATGATATTTCCGATATTGAAGGACTATTTCATGAACATATATACAAAAAAATATCCCCAATAAGGGTTATCTTTTTCAGCAATTTTACTGAGAAAAAGGTTCAGCATAATAAAATCCAACTCTAATAATTATGAAGCACCAAATTTATTTAGTTTCAAAAAATATTCATATGCTGTTGACAATGGTATAGAAAACATTGAAGTAACTGTTTATACGAGGGTCATTTTTTTAAGTAAGAACCGTTGTGTAATCCAGTCAGAGAAATTTTATTTATGAATGTAAATTGTATCACAAACTAAAATATGAACATTTTTTTCATTTTTCAACATAGCCACCATAAACATTCAAACACAAGTCAAGCCGTGGTACCAGTTTTTCTGTTAATTTCTACCAATCACAAACGCGGAATTTTGAATTACAAATGGTTTCTAGATAGAAAAATTGTATGATAGTACTTGTCAGCATTTTTTTCAGTTTACCTGCGGCGAAATTTGACAGCTGTTGTCACCAAACATTACAATAACTTTGATAACAAGTAATTACGGCCTCCTATTACAGCAGAAAACGCTGCTAAGCTGAATTATGTAATATTGTTTTTAAACAGTGCTAGTCAGCTTATGTAGTGAAAATGAGTCGCTTTGGAAGTGATTCTTTGACTACTATATGACTAATCTCTCAGTGTACGCAATGTGCGCAATTTACTTAAAAAAACGTAGGATGTCAACCCTAACACACAACTAGATGAGTATGCAAGGCTCACCCAGTTTGCTGCGCAGATATCCTGTTTCCCTCGGAAGAGTTGCAGGTAGACCTAATTTCCACTTTGGAGACACTTCACACCCACGCCACAACATTAAAACACCAAAGCAATACTGAGAGACAAATGAGAAACCTATAGTGAACACCACTACTGGAACAAAGTAGCTAAACCAAATAGACCTCTACGGAGCTGTGAACGTCTAGACATTCCGCTGCGCCGATGGTTGGCGAGAGACCGAAGCGTGTGAGTGCTACGGGACAACGTAAACATCGAGTCGCTTCGGGAGCAGACGCGCGGAGCGGGAGATGGAAAGGGGCGTGGCTGTACTACCCGGCCGTACCGTATCGCCGCAGCGAGGTACAGCACTCGCACGGTTCAGTCTCTCGGCAACCGTCGGCGCAGCGGAATGTCTACGCGTTCTCAGTTTCGTTCTATTCGGTTGAGCTACTTCTTTTCAGTAGTGATGTTCACTATAGGGTTCTCGATTGTCTCTCAGTGGTGTTGTGACGTGGGTGTCAAGTGTCTTCAAACTGGAAATTAGGTTTACTTCCAACTCTTCTGAGCATGAAACTAGTGAGCCTCGCATACTCATCTACTTGTGTGTAAGGGTTGACATCCTATGTTTGTTTTAAGAAATGTCAAAAAACTAAAGGCATTATTTAGGCACTACATGATGGTGTTTCTAAGAAAGTGCGACACCGTATCTAATAGCACCTTTTTCTACGACTTCAACGATGTATCACGTTACATTTGTTTTTTAATTATAAACAAACGTTTTTTTTTCTACACTTTCATTATATTTAAGTAGGCGTTGCAAACAAATGCTTGATGTAAGATTGTGTGATTACTGAGTTTAACCTAGTCTGATCCTTATCTTGGCCACCCTGTAATACATTATTATAAAAAGAAATTTCCAGAAACGTGCACTAATCTAACGTTCTTGTATATTCTTATGTACTTACATTCATTTCTGAAAAATCTCAAAACTATTAGTAAGGCTTCGAACATAAGGTCTAACGAATTGGTGATAGCAGAAGTAGCAAAATCGTCCGATGAGCTTGCAATGCCGCAATCCAGGTGACAAGATTAACTTTCGTATGTCTATCCCGGGGTAATGACAGCCTCATGAATGTCATTGCGGCAGTTTTGAAATCTTCATTTGCATATTTTTAAATATTGTGCAACGATTTCGAGAAAAATTTAGCTACGGATAGTCTAGTAGAGTATATCTCAATAGTTGTCTTGCGTGGCTATGTTATCTTTACTCGGGCCTCTGAATACCGATCGTTTTTTGTGCAATGTACATATATATCAATAAAAATCAAGCATTTGATATGACAAATGCGTTACCTATATTTTCGATGATCTTCCCCCTCGTCATTTAAAATCAGGTGGGCGTGTTTCTCCATTTATGATTTAATAATTTCTCATTTTTCGGCACTAGGAAGACAAATTTTCAATTGACGTCCGTTTCTTAAATGACATTGACATAAGCAGCGCCACCTTCAACTAACTTAAATCAAATCCAAGCGAATAACCAAAATTTCTGTGTTATGTGCCGCGGTTATAATATGGTTCAAGATGACACACGGGTTGATGACGTCAGTTACACGAATCGCTTGAACGCGTTGGTTTTAACCGCGGTTTTGTTGCAAGTTGTTTATTTTAGAAAAGTGCGTATATAATCTCTGATTATTTTTATTATCATTTAATAATGGGTTATTTATTTTCTACAACGGTGTATGGAAAGTTTAAATAAGAAACCTTTCATAATATTCATGGGAGAAATGTTTTTTTTTTCAGAAATTTTTAATGATGTAACCATGGTTTTGTAGCTATGATAACTTTCAATTCTCTAAAGTTTTCCTCATGTCAAAGAAAGCATTTATTGATTTAGCAGAAATGATGAAAAAGACGATGAAAAAGGATATTAGCAAAACCGTATACAGGTGGACATCATCCAGTGAGTTAAATGGCCATATTTTAATATTCTTGTGGTATATGGCTACACGGGATACTTTGTTAAACATAGGAACTACATTGAAAGTGTTCCCAACAACAGTAATGAGTATAACTAATAATGTGCTCCACTTTATGCTAACACTGAAGTCAGCTTGAATCAAGTTTCCCAAAAATGAAGCTGAAGTACAATAACAATATCCAATACCCGGCAAAATTCTAACTTGTCACATTTCAAATAATAACCAGAAATATAAAACTACTCGAGTTGGGTAAATACCACAATTTTGCGGTGATAACTGTGACATTTAACAGCTGATTCATGACGTCACGGATCTTATATCCAAACTGATAACCACACTCGCTTGAACGGATCGGTAAATACCAACCCAAAATGGTAAATACCATTTTCATTTGGTTATCCGCTTGAATTTGATTTTAGTTGAAGGTGGCGCTGACATAAGACTTATCACTAGTACCTCACAGGCGTTAGGTGGTTATCCATAACACGTGATTTTTTGACATTTGGATGATGTCACATCCGTCTTCACCTATTCCCGTTCTTCGCGAAAATTTGAGTATCAGTTCCCGGTAGTGCACTGTGCTAAACCGTCGACGGAAAAATTTAGAGAATTGAAAGTTATCATAGCTACAAAGCCATGGTTCCATTATTAAAAAAAAATCTGAAAAAAACATTTCTCCCATGAATATTATGAAAGGTTTCTTATTTAAACTTTCCACATACAGTTGTAGACGAAAAAGCACCGATTATTAAGTGATAATAAAAATAATCAGAGATTATATACGCGCTTTTCTAAAATAAACAACTTGCAACAAAACCGCGGTTAAAACCAACGCGTTCAAGCGATTCAACCCGTGTGTCATCTTGAACCATATTATAACCGCGGCACATAACACAGAAATTTTGGTTATTCGCTTGGATTTGATTAATATTCAGAAAGATCTCTAAACACCCAACCCATCTCTATTATAATTTCCGGCTGTGTGCACGTGGTGCACGGTGCACGAGCTGTCAGCTCAGCTTTTGTTGATAAATAGTATAGGTTATGATACCTTAACCTCAGTATTTTTGTGTCAAAAAGCTCTATTTTCAAAATATTTTTGATGGTGCTGTTATTTGTGCGTTTGTGATTTATATTTAGAATGTCTCAACAAAAGCTGAAAAAACCTCATAGTCCGTGGGTACAATGCGAACAGTGCTGTACAAGCCTATTACCAAAAGACAGTTCTATACACAAGGATGATTGCCCCCCAAACACCGAAAATCCTAGATACATCTTATTTAGAGATGGTGTCCTTTATGGAACAGTAGATGTGAAAGGACAAGAGGAAATAAAAAATATAAGCTCAAGGGAACTTGATAATATGGTGTTTCTCAGCCAATCAGCAATGCAACTGTGTAATTTGTGTATTGGACAGTGGGCCTCGATTCAGAGTACAAAAAACTCAATACCACCTGTAGCGCGAATTGTATGGCCAACAGTGGAAAAGTCAGCTACTTCTGCATTATTTACAAGAAATGGTAAGATCATTAGAAATACCTCAATTGTGTATTCTAAGAAGACTCATTTTTTTCATTAAGAAACATGTTGCTGAGACATTTCTTTATCGCGATGTGTAGCAGTTTATCCAGCACTGTTCTTGCCTAATGTTATGTGATTTTATAAATGCACCCTTTTTTTTCTCTTGTGAGCTCACAAAATGCAATAAATCAGGTTACATTCATGAAGACATAGCACTATTCAGCAGTCCCAGACACTAAATTACAATATCAAAGCTTTCTGAATATCTGTATATGAGCTCCATGCTCCAAACTCTAGCAATTCTGTAGAGATTTACTAAAAATCAGTGTGAATGGAAGCGAAACCAATTTTTTAAATTAGAAGAGTTTTTATGTCATTCTGTAAAAACTGCTTCTAAACACACAGGAGTTTTCGTCAAAACAATGACAAAATATATTCCATGGTAAATACTGATGAACCATAGTAAACACTGATAGTGTGACTAGTGCCATAATCAATGCAGTAATTACTATTTGTACTGAGGTTCATTGCATTTATTCCTTTCCTCATTTTTTCTAATTCATCATGTTTTACTTTTAAAAAATGATGTAATCATTTAAAATTACTGAATACTCTTCATGTATTATATTGTTTTGTTTTTGTTTCAGCCTTGGATTTGACCTCTTTGAATTTAAATGAAATAGTTGCAGTGAAACGACTTCAGCCAGACACACTACCTTTAGCTAGCCAAATTTATCTTATTGCCCTAAATCCTCCAAAGCAACTAGAATTGACATCTGAGCTAACAAATAGGATATCAAGGTTACTAGAAGGTAGAATCCTAACATTTGATAACATATTTTCTATTTTTTTCTATGGAAAACAGTTAAAATTTCTGGTTAAGCATATTAAACCTGCTGATTCAAGTCAAAGCATAGAAAGTAAGTTCAATGAATTACGAATAAAGAAGGAGTATGCTTTCTATATGGTCGATAGAAAAACAAATCTGGAATTATACAGGTAAATTTGATATTAGCTGCCAAGAATAATAGCAGTCAAAGCTTAACTTCAATTTTGTAGATCTACAATAGTAGCAGTTTTCTAAAAATTATATTACTTTGAGAACTAATGCCATAAATCAAGTATTTGAAAATGTTTAGCACAGTACTGCAACAATCAGGAGCATTAAAAAAACTGCAACATATTTCAGCTTGCTTAGTATCAGCATTATAGTGAAATAAAATTAGAAAAAATGAAATTTTTTTTAAGGGACCAATGTGCATTTGAAAAGCAAGAGCTCCAAAAGCAATCTGATAGAATACCAGTAGGTGTAGAGAAAGAAGTACACGAGCTTCAGACTCTGATGAAAGCTTGTCTTAGTAAGAATTCCAAACCAAGTTGTTTGCCACACATCAAATCTGTGCTTTTGTATGGCAATTCAGGTAATGTAATGAATTGGTAGTGAACAAATTTTAGTTACTTCCAAAGAAGATACTAATTTTATATGTCTTGAGAGGGAAGGATCAAGATGGACATTTTTTTAGGAGGAAGGGGGTAATTGAAAACCATCATTATCATTTCTTAAAGTGAATGCCTCATGAGAATTGGAGGGGGGAGGGTGGTGACAGCTTCATTAGTACTTCTGAAACAAACTATAGATTTTATTTTTTGTTATAATATCTAAATTAAGTACTGCCATCCCATATGATTAACTATCTGCTATTTAGGACCAACATGGGGGTGTTCTGATTCTAGGTACTGGGAAAACAATGATAGCCAACTTCGTAGCCAGAGAATCAAAAGCTAACATTTTCACAGTATGTGCCCCAGATCTATACAGTATACAGTCAAATTCCATAGAAGAAACCATTAAAAAATGTTTTAAAAATGCGGTTGAGAATGCTCCCAGTGTACTTGTTATGGATGAAATTGATATTTTGTGCCCTCAAAGAAGTGGGCGACTGACTGATTCTGAGAAAAGGAGTGTTTCTACATTACTCTTGCTACTAGATAATCTGGAACACAAGTAGGACACATTTTGTTGTTTATTATATATTTGTACTGTACTTTGTTCAGTTTCACATCGAAGGAAGAAACGTTTTTGGATGACATTTCTTTGTATTTTTGGATAAACTTCGTTAGTCGTTAGTCATAAGGGGTTTGCTGCTGATCGATCGACTCGAAGGCTAGCGGGTTGGAATCACCGACTCCGAAATTAATTTCGAGTTGTATTTGTCTATATAATACGCACCAGATCGGTGCAAGATCAATATGGGTACATCCCATTGCTGGAGCTGATTGATTCAATAATCAATTACCAGTAGATAAAATGTGGAGTGATACAGTGTTGATACTACCTAGTCGTCAAAGCTTGTCAAAAGTGGTCTAGTTGACACTACTACTACTAGTCATACTTTTGGAGGTTAATAATGCTAGCTCATAATTTGAAAACATGTATTTATCTTAATATATTTAAGCAAGCAATGTAAAAACCCCATTTTACTTTTAGTGCGAATGTATTCATCATAACCACCAGCAATAAGCCAGAGAACATAGACCCATCATTCCGAAGATGCGGTAGATTGGATAGAGAAATTGAAATACCTACACCAACTCCGGCATGTAGAAAGGCAATTTTATCTCAGCTACTCAGCACAGTTCCGAATAATGTTATTGAACAAGATTTGCACAATGTTGCTCTGAAGACCCACGGATTTGTTGGGGCGGATTTGGTGTTGTTGTTCTCTTTAGCTGGATTGAATTCTGCCAAAAGATCAGATGTTGGAATGATTGAAGTTGAAGATTTAAATTGCGCAATGAAGCAAGTCAGACCCAGTGCTATGAGGGAGGTCCAAATCGAAGTAAGCATGCACTTGTTCTATGGCCAAGTAAAAAGTTGCAGTTCAGTTTAACCAACTATTGTGTCACCAGCTTGAGAACATGCTATCACTAATGCTGGTCTGAAATCTAGATTTCGCAAACATTTTTGTTGACTTACTGAACTGTTTTTTCTACATCGTAAGAGTGCTGGATCCTTTCCTGGACACTAATCAACTGTATACCTTTATTTTTACAGGTACCAAATGTAAAATGGTCAGATATAGGTGGCCAGGAAAGATTGAAACTGATATTGAAGCAATCAGTGGAGTGGCCATTGAAACATCCAGAGAGCTTTTCAAGATTGGGTGTTACCCCTCCGAAAGGTGTACTAATGTTCGGACCGCCTGGATGTTCTAAAACAATGATAGCCAAAGCACTGGCTACTGAAAGTGGCTTGAACTTTTTGTCTATCAAAGGTGAGCCAGTTGTCGGTATTTCCAATAGTTATCTAAACTATATTCAACTCTCATTTACTCCTCGTCGAAAGAAACACTAATTCGTGAGCTCCTTTAGAAGCGGCGATCCAGTGTTCATGTTTGCTATGACGCAAAGTAAACGAAGCTTGAACATATGAATATTTTTTCACTTTCGAAACCGGGAATTTGGCCAGGATTTTCCTTCAGTGCCATTATATCGATTCTCGGATATTTTATACGTTTTGTCAACTGTGTCGTTTCTGGATTTTTGACCACACAATCTATTGGCATTTTGTCAATGTTCTTACATATGTCAAAAGGTCGAGCATTCTTTTTTCTTCAATTATGGTAAAACAGAAAAACAAAGTGTTTTTACTTCCCATGCCAATTGGCTACGAAGTACTGTCACTCCTTTAATTCGGTCTGTCTCTGCCTGTCTGACCGTCCGATAATAATAATAATTTATTTTATTGTTGAATAGAACAGAAAACTCTATAACAAATGACAAGGTCATAAAAATAGTGGTGACGAGTTGAAAAAGTATAAAAAGATAGATCTAAACAAAAAACTCCTCCAAGGTGTAGAAACATTTGTCTATCAAAAAAAGTTTTAGTTTTCTTTTGAAAACAGCTATATTTGATTCATTCCTTAGGATTAAAAGCATCTTAGACCTAGTTGGATATTCATGCTGGTGTTTGATGACTTCAAATTCGCGCGTATTTTTGAAAACAAACAAAGCCAACTCATAAATGTAAATACCTATAACAGTAAACATCTTTAGTGTTCTAAAAGATTCTCTATAGGATTGGCGCCAACCAAGGTTATCAATAATTCTAATGGCATATTTTTGCAGCAGGAGAACTCTTACAGTTAGTGAACAACTTCCCCAATTGAGAATACCATAACGGATATATGGCAGTTGACAGTGGCATAGTGCAAAGTTTTTAAAATTCGTTGGCCCATCTCTAACTTGGAAATGATCGCTCAGATTTTAACGAAATTTTCACACAAGGTTACTACTATGCCAAGGAAGAAAAAGCTTTGTTTTTGAAAATCGGTGCAAAAAAAAAGAATTCGCTCAAACTTCGTTTTTTGGATATTGTAGTTGGCGTGAAAGAATACGTCAATTATTTGTTGCTAGTATGTTATGTTTCCACCCCAGTAATTCTACGTACCTATTAGACATATTTCATAGATCATAGATTTTCCCGTACACGTGCCCTTAAAACTTTAATAAGAGATAAGTTTTCGATATACGTGTGCCGGAAAACTCAACTAGCGTACGTTTATCTGCTTCGAATGCGCAAAGATAACAGAATGACGTTGCGTGTATAATATTCGTGTATGCAACTACGGTACTACGAGGTCTGTAAATTAAGTGGTGATACTGTATCCAACTTTCTACCACGACGGACTGTACCAGTTATAAATCCTCTATGCATTGCGTAGGAAGTGCAGAGTCAACCTACTTGACGCCATTTTTTTCACCTTAACAGGTCCAGAGCTATTTAGCAAATGGGTTGGCGAGTCTGAGAGAGCAGTCCGAGAGGTGTTCAGAAAAGCACGGCAAGTGGCCCCATCTATCATATTCTTCGACGAAATAGACGCGTTGGGAGGTGAACGAAGTTCTGGAAGCACCTCCAGCGTTCAGGAGAGGGTTTTGGCTCAACTCCTTACAGAGCTGGACGGAATCACGTCGTTGAGCGATGTGACGATTGTGGCTGCAACGAACAGACCCGATAGAATAGATAAGGCATTGCTGAGGCCTGGGAGGTTAGACAGGATGGTGTACGTACCTTTACCTGACGAAGGAACTAGGAAGGAGATTTTCAGAATCAGGTTTTTGAAAATGCCGGTGAGTCTCCAGCTGATAATTAAATGAACGGATATTTGAAATTGCTGCCTAGGGATGTGTCAAGGCGCTTCTATGTCTAAGAGAGGGGAATCTGAGTACAGTAAAATACATCAATGAAACAATAGACAAATGCATTTTTAAAATACAAAAACCCGCAGTAACCGGAAAGAATGAAGCTTTAGTTGTGCTATCAAATGTCAAAATCCATCAAGCCGTTCAACCTGTAACCCCTGAAATACAAATTTCAAAGTTAACAGTTGCGTTAAAAATCCGGTGTTCAGGTTTTATAAAATTTTGATATACCCAGTGATATGTCAAAATTCATCAAGCCGTTTGGTCTTTAGCAATAATTTTTTTGCCCACATACATACACGCGAAAAGGCTAGAAATACAGTTCTCGTCGGAAGTGGGCTGACGATTTTTTTATCTAGAGTACTTTTCTTCTTTATTTCTTATTGTCCGTTCATTTAATGGTTATGGTTCACGACAATCAGGCAAAAATATTAATTGCCGTTTTTTACTTTTAGGTTAATGTTGATATTGACGATTTGGTGAGTGGAACCCATGGTTATTCTGGCGCAGAGATTACCGCAATTTGTAACGAGGCTGCTATGATGGCATTAGAGGAGAGTTTGGATAGTAAAGTTGTTGAACAGCGACATTTTGAAGCTGCATTACGTATGGTGCAGCCGAGGACGCCAGCCGCTATGATTAGGTTGTTTGAAGATTATTTGAAAAATTAGTGTAAAAATAAAGTTGATATTGATATCAACATTGTTTTATTTTTATGGTGTGGTGTTTATTTGTTGCATATCTTCTTTCATCGTCATTTTAAATCCTTGATCAAGCTTTTTTCAGATAGAAACAGCTACGAGGTCATAGCCTAAATATTATAAGTGCTAAAAACTGGTTAAACTTAGGTCGATCAGGATCTAGAAAGCTGGATTGTTCCACATTCTGGAACAAAGCAAAAATACTAGGTCACCAATAACTTGATGATGACTGGTACATTAAAAAGGGTGAAATCAGGCAATGAAATAGACTTGGAAGATTTTATTTATATACCTTTATAATGTATTTACTTATACATATAGCTTTCACTTTGATACAATATAGGCAATACGCACCATATGAGTAAGGATGGTGTGGTGTTACCCAAACTGTGCCATGTCCTGAAAAAGTTTTGGTCTATCTGGTGCATTTTCGGCTAGCCTACAAACTGAAGAGTATCATGATACATTAGCTTACCAATAGTAATGATTCATTTGAAACTTTTATCCAGGTTTATACATAAAGCTCATGGATGCCCTAGTATGGTTTTCAACTTCGGCTGTGTTCTGATACTTTTTTCATGTAGAATTTCCTACTGATCAAGTGATACATACATGCCCAGATAACACCAAATATTTTCCAGGAAAAGACCTTGCATTATCAACCAGTAGTTTGAAGCTCCAGGTCAAACCATATACCATCCGCATTTTCATAGTTTCTAGTATCGGCTCGGTAGATAATTTCGTTATTACTCATGGTATTCTAAAAAGTTAATCACAACAATTCAAACCAACAGTATGCTTGTCACTTGGGAAATATTTTAATTTCTACAGGCGATTCGTAATTACGTGGTGACCCAAACATATTTTTTCTATGGAAGGACCTACATTTTATTGCAGCAAACGTAGCAAATTGATATAAAATACTATAGGGTTCCATTTTCAAGTTGTTGAGACAATTTGCACCCTGCAACTGTTACAGCTAGATAATTAAATTTTTCGTCAGAACAATTTTGTACCTATCTACTCAATTTTTCAATTCTTGGGTTAGTTCATACAGCATGGTCAAGAACGCAAAATAAACGATTTCTCAAGATTCTCCTTTTCATAGACTTTCTCGATATAAGGTTTCTGTGGCTTCCTATAACTGTTTTTTTTTATTTACAAAAACACTGGAACATCTCCTTGACTGTCCGACTTTATTGCATAAGGTTAGCTAGATTTAATTTATACTGAAAATACTCAAATTTCATCAATTTGCGGTTACTAACTGAATGCAATTTTCATTTTAAACAGTAAATTCATATTTTTCACCTACCTTGATATCGGCTTTACAAAAAGATTAAATGTAAGTCAAAAACTATTTGTGAAACTCCCATAGACCGTTATATCGAAAAAATCTTGTGAAAAGCTGGATCAAAAAGTGTGAAAATATAAAGGGTGTTCCATTTGGAAATTTTAGGAGATCATACTGAGTAAGTGGGTAGGAATAAAAGTTGTGATTATAAAATTCATTAGTCTAGCTGTGACAGTTGCGAAGGTGCGAGTTGTCAAAGTTGTGTTTTTTTCGATAGATTGTCCGATATCTCGACAATTTAGACATATATATTGTCATTTAACAAATGTATGTTTGAGTCGCCACATATTTATGACCATGTAAGCATCATACATTGGCAACAATTTTTGTAATTTTCATGCGTAATGGAGTTATAAACCGAACCCACACTAAAAACTCACCCTGTATGTAATTTTTTCTATAAAAGTCAATCAATATTTCCCTGTGCCACCTGGAGTTTATCCACGATGTTAAATTATACCTCTTTTTTTGTGCGCCAGTCCTAACCTTAGTGTTATGTTCATATAATTTTCAAATAACGAAACATTACAATACGTAGTCATGCCATAAGTTCTGTCCCTCGTTTTCAAACAAGTGTAGACCTGTTAATACTTGTCCGATTGTTTACATTGTGGTGTCAGTTGATTAAGCGCTTTTCGGGTAATTACATATACCTCAGTTTGTATTGATCTCTCGAAGCATAACGATGGAGTGGGGCAAGGCAGAGAACCGTATTGCAGTGATAGCTTTACATAAGTGTAATCACAGTGCTAGTCAGATTTTTGAACTCTTACGCGGCCTTCAAATATCGCGTAAATTTGTGTCTAGGACCATTCAGCGGTACAATGAGACGTCCTCTGTTGATGACAGGCCAAGAAGCGGAAGACCTCGTCAAGTAAGGACTCCAGCAGCCATCAAAGCCGTAAAAGCCAGGATTCAAAGGAATCCACTCCGGAAGCAGAAGATCCTATCCAGGGAAATGAAGATTCCTGTCCGGACGATGTCGCGCATCATTAAACAAGACCTAGGGCTAGGGGCTTACCGGAGACGTACGGGCCAGCGACTTACGGCCACCTTGCGACACATCAGGGCGACAAGATCCAAGAAGCTCTGGAGAGGTACGCAGCTGGGGGATTCCGAAAGATTTTGTTCACGGATGAGAAAATCTTCACCATAGAAGAAAAATTCAACCGACAAAATGACAAAGTGTATGCAAGGAGTTCACAGGAAGCTTCGGAGATCATTCCGAGAGTTGAGAGAGGCCACCACCCTGCGTCAGTCATGGTTTGGTGGGGGGTGTCCTACGAAGGGGTCACTCAGCTCCATTTCTGTAAACAGGGCGTGAAAACAAAAGCGGCAAACTATCAGAGCGACATACTGGATCCTATCGTCAAGCCTTTAAGTGGTACATTGTTTGCCAACCAACACTGGGTCTACCAGCAGGATTCCGCCCCCGCTCACAAGGCTAAGAGTACGCAGCGCTGGCTGGAAAGCAATGTGCCAGAGTTCATTGCTGCGGAAGATTGGCCCTCAGGGAGTCCGGACCTCAATCCTTTAGACTACAAGTTGTGGGACCTGCTAGAGCAGTTGGCCTGCTCCAAAGCCCACCGTAATATCGAGTCCCTGAAAGCGGATTTGATCCGATCAGCGGCAGCTATTCCTTTGGAAGCTGTGCGTGCAGTGATAGATGAGTGGCCCGCGAGATTGAAGCAGTGTGTGAAGGCCAAGGGGGGACATTTTGAATAAAACTGTTTGATTATGAATTCTAAAAATGTTGTCGAATAAATAATATCTTTCATATAAATATATCTTATCTTGTTTCATTTTTATCATGAGATTATCATGGGACAGAACTTATGGCACGACTACGTATATATTTTTTCAATATAATTCAAATTTTTAACGATAAGTTTTTACATTGATATTTATTTTAGTCAATTATGGCCCCAAATAAGCTTCACTTTAATAGTTAACATATTGTTTGTTTTCACCAAATGAGATCACATGTTCTAGCAAGATATTTATGACTTGTGACATTTCGGATTCAATAGTCATCAGCAAGCCGTTATGTCATGATTAAGAAATTACCTTAGCAGAGTTGATTGACTACACATACGCACTGTGACATGGAGGTCTTGAAACAATGTAGAAGAGATCATAATTCCTCTGGAGAATTTTCAATCCTGAGTCAGCCAATTATGGATGACATATGAATCTGCAAAATCCACGATTCCATATCTATACCCCAGAGCTAGACCAGGTCTAGTCCATTTTTGTTAAAAATGAGTTTTATATGTTAAGCTTATGATATTGTGAATTTTCATTTGCTATTTGCAGAGTTCATCTACTTGTAATAGTAAGGAAGTTATGGCTTTTTAAATCATGTTCAGTCGCATACAAAAAATACAATACAAGAAAAGCATTTCAAATACAATTATCTCTGAGGTACAGATATGCATGTATGACAATCATTGAAAAAAATATTGTTCTAGAACTGCTGCGTGGATAGACGTTATGCGTGAATTAAGTACCTCTTATAAGCCCAAAAAATTTACAATATCAGTAAATTCTATTCTGAAAGTTTGTGTCGTCCTGCTGTGGCTGCGCATCAGAATAACCTCTCTAGATTCGACAAGTATTCAGGAATGTTGAGATGAAATTGTGAAAGTGATTTTGGAAAGATATTTGAAATAAGATAAATGCTAACTGGAAATTGTAGAGATTGTAAATAATTTCTGTCGAACTTAATAGATGTATTGAGTGCTAAAACAGTTCTGTAAACGTAAATTCCAGTAAAATACTAAATTAGAGACAAGACTCACAAGCTACAAATTTTATATTAACAATAAATTACTATATCAATAATTTTAACAGTAAATGTTTAATTTTACGTTTGCGCCATAAGCTATGAAATGAGATTGTCTCTCGAAGAAAAACATTTTTTCCTTACGGTTGGTTTGATAGCCCCAGCATTGACGGATATCGCTAATATTTTCATCAAAATCATTTCAACCTGTCATTTTGGTTACAATTCTTGCTTTATCTAGTGGATTTCTGTATCAAGTGGCAACCGAGTAACCTACGAGTATATCGATAAAACATCAAAGATCCACAAAATGTATTGCAGCGATTTGGTGAAATTGGCCGGAAATATTATGGAATATACACTAGTCATATGTACTAATTGACTATCTATGCATATGTATTCAGAGTGTACTATAAATATAGATTGAATAGCAAAATATGAGTAACATTGACGTCTCATAATATGTGTATTAATTGAAAAACTTTCTTGCACTAACAATGTCTGAATATGAACAGTATTTTGAAAATAAACATTTTGTGGAATAATACATAATTGCTAGTAGTTAATATTGTTGGTCACCTCAATATGCGGTAAAAAACAATGGGCGTATTCAAAAAATTAATCAAATCATTCATCAAACGAACCCTGAATAAGTGCTCTGAGCGCTGCAGTATCCAGAATACGTCCAATAAAATGATTATCCCAGTAATTGGTTTCTCAATATGGTTGTATGAGACATTCATTATTAGATGCTGAAACTGGATATACATTTTCCGAACATTTAAGTAGTGATATTTTCGGTATCTTTAGATCCCTCCCTTTTCAAATGCCATGGTGACGTCGCAAACGTTTGAAATATCTGCCATATATACGCCGCCTTGGTGTCCCGCAGGGGTATCACGTAACTTGAAAATTGACATTATTTTTTTTAATTATGTAGGTTTTTGTGTAATTATATAGGTTTTCTTACAAGATGTCAACAAGGAACTAGCTGTCGTTCACTTCATGCTCACTTGTAGCAGGCGCGGAATGAACTGTTTGGACACTACCTGCTATCTAGTCAACAAGATGACATTTTATTGTTTTTTCGATATTATATAGTTGTTTTACGTAAATAACCCTGCCGGCCAGGGGGCTCTTAGCGAAACTTCATCGGGATTCTATAGCTAAATTTCCAACTCATGTTTCAAATTTGTAAGATATTTTTAGCACCTATATCAGCGAAATATTTACAAAAGAATAAACAGGACATTGAATACACATATGAACGAAAAATGCAATACGATTTATACAAAAAGCTAATTTTACGTAAAATAATTGACATCCATAAAGAAACAATAGTTGATCCCATGAAAACCACTTTTTATACAACGTTTTTAACTGATCATATTGTTATTCCTAAACTTCATTCCTACAAGATATTAAAATGTCATACTGTCCAAGTGAATTATTCTGAACAGAGATACTGTCAGTAAGCTGGCATCATCTTAGATGACTGAACAGTATTGTTGCTTCCTCAATACGCGCTATTTACTTTGAAAGTACATACTCGCGAGACACATACAAGTATCTACACATAATGAACATGATGATACGTTATTTACGAAACTGCAGATGAAGAATACGGAAAAATGCAGTCAAGTGATTCTCTGATAGCGTAAATGGCAGCTCCGTTCGCTATAAACGATCCTAACAAAAAAATGTTACATATTTATGGCGGTGTAACAGTACATTTAGCAATTATATTAATTATTCGGATTTGTAAATAAAACAAATTCGTCGTAATAGTAAAATTGTCGCCACTTGCCATATTAGTGACATACAAAATGGTGTGATAGATGTCGCTTTGTGCTGTCTGATTTCAATAGTCCGAACCTCCTGGATAGAGGGTAGTTGCGATGCGTTCATTCGTTGATTCAGAGACGAGAGACCAAGCTTAGACCATGCTGATGAGTAGCCAAGAAGCACAAGACAGCTGTCCTTGGTTGACTATCGTTTGGTGGGACGGATGAAAGCATCATGTGAGCGCCAAAAACGTCTGCCTAACCTAGGTCGATCAAGTAAATGGCACGGCTTGATCTTGATGTTTTGTCACTCAATTTTTTAGGTGCTCTATTTCTAGGCCAAGCGCTTAGCTTGCCTATAAAAAAAAACAAAACGTACTGTTACAAGTACCACCGAAAAATAAAATTGTTCAATATGCTCTCCCGGTATGATATCAGAAATTGTTAACGGTACTTTCAGGGTGAATAATTGCGTATAGCTTTGATTGGACCGCAATAGATCTGACTCTGATCTAGGTTACAACAGTCAGGACATTTCTATCTATATCTGAGATCCCCTTCTGCAGCTCAGAACAGGTGACATTTGCAAAGTATTCTTGTGGTTAGTATTCTTGCTGTTTTGTTCCATTTCTTCCTTTGGGTCAGAATGTACCATGACTGTGACACTGCTGTTCTTGTCCTGTTCTTCAGATTTGTCTGTATCTTTGAGTTGATTTTCTGTTTCTTGATTATCCTGTCCTTTTTGGTCTTCAATTTCAGGTGGTTTGTTGGGTCTGTAAGCAACAAATTAATACGTTTAAAAAGCGCAGTTCTGTTGATAGCATGTTTTAACTAATATCGTAAAAAATACAAGGTGGTTAATGATACTTTGATGGTTCGACTCCTGAAGTAGTAGTAGTAGTAGAAAGATTTATTTAGCACATTTGGCTACATAAACAGAATAATTGTAAACAACTTAGAACTAGTAAATTCAAGTAAATGCTGGGCAACCTATAATTGTAGATTTAACAAGTGATTTCTCAATTTCACTTTAAATTTTGTCAAAGTTTTCTGGTCTTTTATCTCCGAGTATAATTTATTATATTCCATCAACCATTGATGGAATACAGATTTGTAGCATATGTTATACTTTTTGGTCATTAAATGGAAGTCATCTTTATTTCAGGTATTATGTAAATGATGGTCGACATTTGATGATGTTAAATTAGTTAGACTTGATGGAAATATATTATTTTTTACTTTACATTGAACCATTTTAATTTGCTAAGCATTTGCCTAATTGGAGTATATTTATCTTTGTTTAGTATTACTCTCATGCAGTTATTTTGTAAAAATTGCAGTCTTTCAAAAATGGAATTATTTGCTAAATATAGAATAGTCGAACAGTACAAGAAATTTGGAAGAATGATGGTATTATAGATAATTTTTCTGCTATATGAACTCAGACATCCAGAAACTCTCGATAAATATCCCACTTTACTACTAATCTTATTTATAACTTTTTCATAATGAATATCAAAAATTAATCGAGAGTCAACAAAAACCCCCAGGTATTTAAAATTTTCTACGAATTCAATATCTTCACCATCAATATTCAGTTGAACATTTGTACATTGTTTTTTTCCGATTAACAAGGCTTTCGTTTTACTTACATTTAATTTTAGTCTGTTAGATGCTAACCATTTTGAGACAAGCTTCAAGTCTTCATTTATATAAGAGATACCAGACTGAATATTTTTAGTACTTATATAAATCATAGTGTCATCGGCGAAAATCTGAATTTTGCATTTTTTGACTATGGCAGGTAAATCATTTATGTATAAAATAAAAAGAAGTGGTCCCAGGATACTGCCCTGTGGAACACCCAACGTATTTTCAATTTTTGATGAAGTAGTGTTATTAACTTTTGTAACTTGCATCCTTTTAGACAAATAATTTCTAAACCAATCTAAAACACTTCCTGTTTTACCATATGCCTTCAATTTACCTAACAAAATATCTCTATCAATCGTTTCAAATGCCCTCTTCAAATCCAAAAATACTGCTATGACAACTTCTTCTGAGCCTATGGCTCTTCTTCAATTTTCAGTTACCAACTGGAAAGCTGTTTCTCTGGAATATTTTTTCGAAAGCCTGCTTGCGCCTCCACTAAAATTTTGTTTTCTTCTATAAACTGCATTAATTGGTCATGCACTATGGACTCTAATAATTTTTTAATGTCTGGTAACACATTTACTGGTCTCATATCGCTGCATCTTTTAGAATTTTTTATTTTGGGAACTGGTGTTATTGTAGAGCATTTCAAATTTTCAGGAAAAGAACTGCTTCTCAGTGAACAATTGATCCAATTTAATACAGGATATCCCAAAATTTCGAAACAGTTTTTCAGCACGTTTTTAGTAGTGATTTCGGCACAGTTGTTATTTGATTTTAAACTGTTTACTTTTTTTCTTAAATATATATATGATTTATTCACTAGATGTTCAGCTCTTCTTCATACGGTAATGTTTTTCCCTCCACCAGTTCCAAATTACTTACTGTAGACATCGGAAACTGAATATTGGTTTCACGTAGGTACACTTTATCGCTCAGTCACTAACTGTCTAGCACAGCTTGATTAATATTGAGTTGTATGTAACTTACTTGACCTACCCTTAATTATTATCGGCGTATTAATTAGAAACCTCAGTAATGTGTGTAATTTAGACCCTCAACAATTTGGTATCACCATCCGATAAGTCTAATAGTTTGAGCAGGAGTGAAGACTTGGAGGGGGGAACAGAACTTTTTTCTGCAATATAAAGCTATACTTCAAAGATTAACAGTGCACCCTTAAGGAAGTTAGTGGTAATCCACTGTAGGCAGGAATGGAATCTATACTCATTTCCGTAGAAATGGGAGCATAGAAATTATGAAACTAAAAAAAAAAACAAAGAATAAATTTCTTATCATTTTTATTGCTTTAGCTGCTCCAATATCCAGTATCAATGTGCAAATATTTTTGGCTGCATGGCGATGCGTGATGAATCATTTTTTAATAACTTCATTCCGATTGGAAATAAGCAGTTTTATACTTCTTAATTTATCTTCACGTCAGTTTCAGGTCATAATTAGACGTTACCTGCATTGGATTTAGAACGACGGCACTTAATTTTTTGTGTTCCGCTCAGACACAACCACCGAAAATTATCAGCGTTAAAAATAATTTGCCTTCTGATTTGATATACTCGTACATATCGTAGGGGTTATTATAGAAGTAAGTGGTCATTTTGAAGCGGTCTCCATTAGATTGACAGGAATGACGTATCTCATTTTTGTAACGTCAGTCGTATAAGATTAAAAATGGTGATGCAAACGTGTGTGCCAAATTTCAACTCAGTCACCGGGAAGCGGGTTAAATTTAATAGCTTCTAAGATTTCATTAGTCACAGACACGGTCAGATGAAAGAAATTGTGAAAACTAACTTGGAACCCGCAAGTCAAATGCATTAAAAGGAGAGCGGAGTCGCCTTTAATGTTTCCCAGACGCTCTCATGGTGAAACATGGGCATTGAGCACTTCCATTATGCAATGCACGTACATAATTAAGCAAGATTCAAAGACTTGCTTGATTGTCAATAACAGGTGCAATAAAGAGCGTTGCAACTTCAGCATAAAAACCCCATAGTTCCCAGATTTGTATTAGAAAAGAACTTAGAGACGAAATAAGAGACCGAGAGAACCAGTCTTGGGGATGTCCAAGAGCACAATAAGGATCAAAGTTAAAGAATGGGTAAGAAACCAGCATGAGGAACATTGACACTTAGTGGCTGCATGTAGACATGGGAAAGAATTTATCTCGGGACCACGTCCAAATGAGACTGCGGATCTGATCTCAATGAGTAGAAACCAACTCCGTGCAGTTTCAGGGTTTCTAACAGGACACAACGGCCTGAAACAACATCTTAGCAAAATAGGGCTTGGAGGCCTTAGCTGCACACAATGGGGAAAGGAACAAAATCAGCCCTACATGTCTTAAGTGAGTGCGAGGCGCAAGACAACTCTTCGGGAAACCAAACAGTACCGGCAGGTAAACTGTGTCAACTGGCTCAGAACACTACACTGCTGGAATGGGTACTGTAAATTAGGTTAGCAAGGCACAATAAGCCCGAGAGGCTGCAGTACCATCGGGGACTTTGGTCGGACGGCTTGCGGAAAGGGAAAAAGGTCTGGTACACAAAGCGTCTCAATGAAATGAATTTCGTGTTATACGTGATCACAAGCTTTGCGTATATGAAAATACTCAAAGTACACTAAACATGAAGGCTATAATCATATACCCATATATGCTGTAAAACGCAATTTAGCAGACGAAACAATTTCATAATGGTTTGTTTTTATGTCAAGTCTCGTGTCTAGCTCGGGGAATAACCTGTTAACCATTCATTATGTTCATTATAGACTCACGTAATATGTTTTGCATCGCGTAAGTTTTATATCAACATGACAATTGATATGAATTCCATTAACTTATATACGTTTTAGTGCCTTAACTCAAGTTGAATCAATAGAATGTTTATAGTCTAGGAGCAGTCACTACTAGTGGCTTATTGGTCACCTATACAAATGTGCCAAAAATTAGGTCACGCAATTCAAATCGTTGTCGTTAGGGCCCTTTAAAATGGCCACTAGTTTGAAACGATTATTCTGCATATTTTCATAACCATATCTTTTATATAATTTAAATAGAATATATTTATCTTTCATAATATTCATCAAATATTTATTTTTTAATCAATGGCAAATATTTAAACTCCATTATATAGAAAATATTCAATAAATATTTTTCATGTATGTAATATTTTTTCGTAGTATAGAAGAAATATTTATTTTAAATTAATAGAAAATACCGCTTATTCACAAAATATTTGAAAAACAAGTAAAAAAGTGCACACTATAACCATGAGATCACTATAATAACGATTTTCTTGCAGCGGGTGTAGCTAAGCAAGAGTAAAGATATAATTGTCCATATTAATTTATATTAATTATATTTATAGGATTCAGACTGCACATATGTATATTCTTCGACATGGCGATGGTATAGGATTTTTTTACAGCTGATGGTAGAATAATGATGTCAAATTTCAAATTTCTAACATGCCTTGTGTAAATATGGTATGTCCCTCTAGTGAGGTTTTTTCGCATTAATATGAAACCACCGTTACATCTTATAACTCATTAAAAATATGTCAGCGGAAAAAAACAGTAGATTTCGAATTTGTCGCCATCAGAATCCATCGTGAGTTGTTTGGCCTACGAAGCATGCGCGTGTGACACCGAGCGACCAAGGGAATAATGGCCAGGTGACCTGAACCTGAGTCGAGCCGCTTGTCGGCTTCCACTTTGCCTGTGTGTTTGACTGTGACAGTGTGCATCCTGTGTACCTCCAAAAGGTACATTATTTGAGTGTTTTTTTTTGTGGAAAAGTTTTGCGATAATTACTTAGCTTAATTTATCTGACTAGTAAACATTATTGTGCCAATTGCGTATAAAAGGTATTTGCAAAACGATAAATACCTAGCCTTGAAGTGTGACAGGGTTATTTTCGATAAAATATATATGGACCACTACTTCTTATAGGACTTTGGGATTGGTGGATTTATCTGAAAATTTATAGGAAAATTATATTCATCCCAATCACCACAATCACAACTTGATCGAAATACATCAAAAATGTTTTTTTAAATATATCATCATTTAATAAATAATTTTACTGAATGTTAGCTATAAC